CAATCCGAAAGTAGGGGATTCCTGAGGTCATTTGAAGCAACTTTTTCCTTAGCGAAAATGCAATCCGCGGCTTCGTTTACGAGTTATTACTGAAAAACAGTGACCAATCAGAGGCGAGATCGTTTGGCGCGAGACGGCCGAGTCAATGAGCGGAACTGGGCTCCGTGCACTCGTTGGCTGAGTCACCGCGCGCCAGCCGAGCTCGCCTCTTATTGGTCAGTGTTTTTCGTTGATAACTCGTAAACGAAGCCTCGGAGAAAATTGTCGCAAAGGAAAAAGTTGCTTCAAATGACCTCAGGAACCTCCCATTTCCAGATTGCGAGACATTTTCGGGACACCCTGTATATTCTTCTACAGCGAACCAATTTGATGGAAAAGAGCCCATTCTCGCAGCACAATGTTCCCTCATCGGCGTCTCACGAACTGCGCAACTTTTCGCGTTCGTTTCTCGTCGAACTTCCCGCAGAAATTTCGCGATCCTAAAGCATCGAAACGTACATCGACATCCTCGGTCCATTAATAACAATTAGACCGCGGATTTTACGAGACATCCAAGGAACATTCGAACGAAACAGAACAAGAAGCGCATTTGTTTCGACAACAGCACAAAGACCCGCAGTCCGACGATCGTTTCAGGCTCTCAGGCGATAACGGAGTGGTCGTTCATCATCGGAATCTTAAGTTTCCGAGGTACGCGCGCCGCAACAAAGAGCAAATCCCCGGATGCTGTGTCGCTGCGGTTCTTTTTTTTCCATTGCAAAGAAACGAACCGGGCCACCCCCGGTGTATACGATCGTTTAACACGCGAGGATCGCGTGGATCGCGCGCCGGCCGTACAACAGACACCGAAACGATCCACAACATAGTGTACAGCGTACAATAATTATATCATCGTAACCGGAAACGGTTTCCGCGTAGCGCGGGTGTTCTTTTTACCTTTTTCCGCACTTCTATACGGTCTCCGTAAACGAGCACCACTCTATCCTTGCTCTCGTTCGTGGTGATCTGATACGACAAGCTCTACGATATGGCGGTTTCGTGTGCGTGTCCGGCGGCCATGTTGCACCGTTATTCCCAATTCGTTCCAACGTCGGTATAGCGTCGATAACGTTGTTTCGTTTAATCACATATACATATATGTATATATATAGATACATACATATATATATATATATATATATATATATATATATATATATATATATATATATATATAATTTTTTGTATTTAATTTTCGTC